CTAATTGCACAGGCACCAATGGAATAAAGGTGATTCTTGCCTCAAGGGCATAATCTACCTTTATTCCAGTAACTGCATCTAAGGTATGACTAAGCATTACTGTGTAATGTTAATAAAAAATAACAACTCAGACTAATCCATCCATACCTCTAAAAAATTATGTGCGCTTTTGCTGTCAGTTCATTCCCTGTCAAATATCAATGTATAGAACAGCCGCTTAGATTTTTATGATATATAAACCATGCTTATTCAGACATATCATCTCCTCAGAGACCTAGCTTGCCAAGGTCATCTGACATGTATAAATTCCTAAGTCAGAGGCCATATTATGAATTATTAAAACTAAGAGAAAAAACTGCATTTGTTTATTAGTTTTTCATTATTATACTCTAATGTGTGTCATATTTATCACCAGACCAGGGAAAATGAATGCTCTTCATCTCTGAAAACATGCTTATCCAATTCAGTTCCAAAACAGATAACAGCTAATGTCAATTGAATAAATCAAAAAATGTTTACCTAATGTGATGAAAACAGAGCACTCATGAGAACTATCAGCCACAAGGTTGCTAGTTTTCATCCACAGCAAGAATTTCTCAAGGGCTCTTTTTTGCCTTCAGACTCATGAGTTTTCTTGCCCAAGCCTCACTGGGTAGTCGAAAGGCTATTTATTTTCTTTCTTCCTCTGAATTTCTAATTGAAATCCACCCTGCTTGTGATATTTAATATTCCAATAGCAACTGGTGAAAAAACAGGAATTTTCAGGACTGAGCATACAAAGGACAATTAAAAAGCACATGAGGATCCTCTTCTGAACATTCTCCAGAAGAGCCTACCTTTCTCTCTTGACTGTATCATCTCTATCAATCTCTTCTTGGAGAGAATAACCTAGAAACACTGTCTCTAAAAACACTTTTAGTGAGCTAATCCCTCTTTTTACAAATTCTAACCCAGAAAAGAGACACATGGCTTATTTTCTAAGCAGCAAGGTTGGTTAATGCTCAATTCCTGTATGTATTTGAAGAACTGGACACAGTTTTTGAAAAAATATCATGGATTCTAGGCACAAGCAAACATATACACAGATGCACACAAAGGCATGTATGAGGGATATACTTGAAGTAAAAGCAAATAGAAGTATCTTCTGGTAAAGGTGTCTTTCTGCTAACAAAAGAGGAACATAATACCAGTCCAAAATGAGTAATCTGCCTGCCAAGGGCTGTAGCCCTTAGACACTATTACACCTCAGTAAACTGGTGCATGTTCGCAAAACTTGGCCGATGACTCACACGGGACCTACTGACAAATAAGAATTTCTGTGACAGTATTTATTTTAAATGTTGCATGTAACATACATTTGCCATCAAAAAGTATATGGGAAGCAGCTACTCTGAAGCTTTGAAGCATGCTGTAGACTAGCTTCACTGCTCCCCTCTTTCATTAAGTTTTGTCAAGGTGGTCCCCTGGTTCCCACCTGAACTTCTCCATGGGCCATGGCATGAGCAAGGGGGATTGTGTTCATGCAAATAAAAAACTTCTTCATTTGAGACATTTGAAAAATGTCCATCTGAAAATCCACAAAGACATACATACATCGATCAGGCCCACTGTTATTTTGAATCAATCTACAGGCTTTGCCTCAGCCACATGGGTCAACAATAATCTTTACAGTATGAAGTTCACAACCTGAAACTACAGGATAAAAATAAAACCAGAGGATAAAATAATTATACCAATCATTCTGCTATACATAGGAAGAGACAGTATTACAGAGAGAGATTTGGAGCTTCTCCTTTAAACTTTGGTACTTAACATTTCAAATCTGAACAGCGTTTTGGGGAACAGAACATACACAGGAAGGTTAAACTTCCATTCGGTTAAAAAATCCCACTAGTTTCCCCTTAAAACTACCAGGTAGCCATCCTTCTCTATGCAGTACATTTGTCAAAGGAGGGAAGAAGCCACCAGGGCTAATGCTCTAAAATTTGCGACATCTAAAGCGATGCTCTTAAAGTCATGTTTAGAAGGAAGAGATTGTTCAATACCCTCTGTGATTATCACAGCTCACACATTACAATTAAATCCATTTGTAGGCATCAGAACAAAAATGTCCTGACTTTAGAAACTGTCAGCCACCTGCATTGTACATTGACTTCAGCTTATTTTTGCAGGCACTCATTTCAAATAGAGACTTTCTGCAGGTGTACCCAACGTCAGTCAGCCAGAGTGCCTCCACTTCCGAGTGCTCTTTAAAAGACAAATGTTGAAACAGCATGTTCCGTCCTCCTTTGCAGTGAATGGATTCTTTGAGGAAATGGGAGTATTAACTGTGACACAGCTACCCTTTTTTTCAAATTCTTTCACGAAGAGATCACTGCTTCTGGGACCCACGGGCCCACATATTATTCACAGACCACACACTGGGAGGAGATGCATTGACCTCAGGTCTGTTACATCACCGTAAGTGTTACTCCACCCAGGATCTTAATAGTTCATTTGGATGAAGTTTCAGAAGTTATCAAGAGCAGCCTGCACAATAAGCCACAAACTTGGGCTGACTCAGTTTTGAAAGTCTAAACAGTGCTCAACAAGTCAAAGAGGACAAATTTTCCTTTTTTTTTTTTTTTTTGGTGTTTTTTAAAATTCATATTACAGATTCCCTATTTTACTGCTCGGTCCCAAGGAAATGAGACAAAACTTTAATCTGTACTCATTTATCTCATCTATCGTTTAGAGGAATCATACAAAAATCCCTTCTGGATGACACAGCCTCCTGAACTCTACAAGTTGGACGTGAGGCTCTTTCTTACGTGAGCAAAGAGCACAGTCTCCAGAGCCAGGACACAGGGCTCTCCTACTTCTTTTGTACAGCTGAAGCAACACAAAGCAAGTGAGAAATTACTCACTTTCTCACTTTCTGTGTCCCTTGACACAGGGGATCCTTTGGGTGGGTGGATGACAGGGTAACCCGCTTTACCCAACAAATGCAAGTCCTTCCCAGAAGGGGCCTGTCAGGGGTTGTAAGCAACTAAATGGATTGGGAGCAGACATGATAATGTGAAAAGTCTTTGAGCAGCAGAATGAAGGACTGCAGCCCAGTCTTAAATGGGTGCTAAATTAGACTAAAAGCCAGAAGCTTAAGATTGAGGGAACAGAAAGAGACTTGGCTTCCACGTTCTTCCCTCTTCAGTTTTACTGAGCATAAACCCAGTAAGACTAAGAACTGTGCTTTTGGTTTTTCATTTCTCAATCCACTTACCCTTTCATGTGCCCATAGGACAAAGCACAGAAGCAACAGAGAGGGTTAATGGCTTCACCACAGTTGGCTGGTGTTAAAGCAAGGGCAGATGTGGGCTTTAATTAGAAAGCAGCTGCACATACATAAACCACAGCAATCTTAATCCAGAGAGTGACAGTGTGAATATAGACCTCTTGCAAAAGCACATGCCTTTAATCTGCATTTATCTGTGTTTTTAGGGAGAAGGGGTTTCAGCAGAATTCTATCCAGGAGCTCGTAGGAGATAGAAGGAAAAAGTACATATACGTCTAAAAATCAGAAAAGGGCACTAAGAATGTAAACACAAAAGAATAAAAATAACCACATAGATCAAGTTACTCAGCACCAAAACAGAACAGTGAAGTTTTCCATTACCTTTCATAGAATAGACCTCTCCCACTATGAGGAAGGCTCCAGCTGTTCTCTTGGCTTTCCCTTGGGCATTGATTATGCTGGACATCCTGTGAGTCCCCCCAAAACTGGCAATTATATCTAGAATATCCCAGCCCTTTAGGAATTCAGGTGCCCAATTTGCTACAAATACTGCAGAGGAGGAAATCATGAACATCAAATTTATTCTGTTAATTTTTACCACGGTCCACTGGGTAGAATGTGGAGGTTCCTTTGTCGGGAAGCAGAGGAGTGCACAAGAAACAGTGCTGCCAGGCAGGCCAGGCACTACATACTCCCTACGTGTCTGCAGGCAGCAGCAAAACCCTACAAGCTGCTCCCTGACAACAGTGGACAAAAATGGAGGTTACTTACTTAGGTCCAGCAAGTCCACAGGTTCTGAAGTTCTGAAGTCCACATACTTGTTCATCCTATGTATAAGTACATGCCCAAGTACTCCAGAGAGAACAATTTTTTGGCACTTCTCAGGTTCCACAGAGGAGTGTTCATGTCCTGCCTCATCATATGAGCTGCATATGCAGTGTAAATGGGTGCAATGCACTTTGTGTTGTCAGCTCTGCTCAGCTCTAAGCCCATGGGGAGGCAGGCTGTGCCCCTGCAGCCCATGGAGGCCCACACTGGAACAGATCTCCACCTGCAGCCAGGGAGGACCCCACACCGGAGCAGGGGGATGCCCCTGAAGGAGACTGTGACCCTGTGGGAAGCCCGCGCTGGAGCAGGTCTGCTGGCAGGGCTGGTGACCCTACGGGGGACCCACGCTGGGTAAGTCTGCTCTTGAAGGACTGCACCCTGTGGAAGGGACCCACGCTGGAGCAGTGCATGAAGAACTGCAGCCCGTGGGAAGGACTCATGTTGGAGAAATTTGTGGAGGACTGCCTGCCGTGGGAGGGACCTCACGCTGGAGCAAGGGAAGAGAGTGAAGAGGAAGGAGCAGCAGAGACAATGTGTGGTGAACTGACCGCAAGCCCCATACCCTGTCCCCCCATGCTGCTTGTAGGAGAGGAGGTAGAGAAATTGGGAGTGAAGTTGAGCCCAGGAAGAAGGGAGGGGTGGGGGGAAGGTGTTTTAAGATTTAGTGTTTATTTCTCGTTATCCTACTCTGATTTGATTGGCAATAAATTAAATTAATTTCCCCAAGTCAAGTCTGCTTTGCCCATGATGGTAATTGGTGAGTGATCTCCCTGTCCTTATCTTGACCCATAAGCCTTTCATTGTATTTTCTCTCCCCTGTCCAGCTGAGGAGGGGAGTGATGGAGCAGCTGGGTGGGCACCCAGCGTCCACCAAGGGTCAACCCACCACAGTCCTTTTTGGTGCCTGAAAGGCAGAAATGACCCACTCTGTCACTAGACAGCTCCAGGTTTGAAGCCTTCAGCCCAGCCACTGAGCGTCATCTGGGCCCTGTAGCCCTCCTGCTGCCAAAACCTTGCCACCCAAACCCAATACAATGGTAGAGCCAAACAGGTACGTCCCATGGGAATAGGCACTCAGCTGTGACAGAGCTCATCACTTTTTCCCCATTGAAAAATCATGGTGGGAATTCAACACCGAAAGGACAAGATGGTAGCAGAGCTAAAAAATGAGAGAGTGCAGAGAGACTGAATATTAAGGGGGAAAAACTCCAAAAAACCTGACAGATTTCCTTTGCTGCAGCCAGCTGGGGAGGGGGAAGCAGAAGAAAACAGACATTCAAAGAAAGAAAAAAGGCCGGGGGAAGGAAAACAGAAGGCTAAACATTCCTTTGATAGGTTGATAGACTGAAATAATTCAGGAAGACACATTTTTAAATTCCTGACAAACACTTGGGCCTGCTAGTTTGAGAATTTTGTCCCTTGTCCTCATAACTGATGCCAGTCAAAAAGCCAGAGTTATGGGGATTATTGCCCCAGAAGGGTGTCAGGTATAAACCCCAGGACAGGACACCAAATAGTTCCACTCCCTGACATCTTCCCTTAGTGACCGATTCAAAGAAATAAAAAACATTTACAAAGATTCTTTACAATGATGAGAGTGACAGTTTGGAAAAGGAAGATAAGGAGACACACACAGCCCCCCGCACTGTTTACATGAAGCCATAGAAGCATTGTGGGTCTATCGTTTTATCACAGCCTTCAAGGCAAATTCTATACACAATTATAACAGCACAAATCTGGAGTATGGGTGTGAAATTCATGGATTTGCAATTCCTGATGAACATTGTTAACTGAGATTAGCATTCAGCAGAAATCAACCTTCAGGTTGCGCAGAAACCAACCCTTCCTAAAGCTACATTAATCTGGAAATACTGATCACCTACATGGTCCTTAACTGGGCCACTGCTTAATGAAGGTTCTGATTCACCTTCCATTCCATTTGTGAATACATACCACATTGCCTTCATTCCCCAAGCATCCCAGTGATGGCTGCTGGCGTTTGTGTGCACAGAAAAGTAACTAGTGAAGTATTTAATACATTGCAGCTTCTTCAATTCAACCTAAGAGCAGGAAACAGCCATTTTGTATGTCAGTGCTTCAGGGAGCAAATGTCAGCACCTGATACTAAGGTAGACCTTAGCAGCAGTGCAGCAATTACTGGCATAGACTGAATAATTCGTGGGTGAACTGTGCTACCCCAAATGAAATCTTTCTACCCCGATCTTCAGCTATAACATAATGTGCTGCAGCTGTTTCCTAACATCCATATTGCAGCTACTTTTTAATGTATCGTCTTTTGTACAAAGCACATTGAAGTGGGGAGTGATGGGAAGGTCAGATTTGTTTTGGAAAAGTCCAAAAGCTCTTTCCGCAGCACAGTTATTAGGAGGACTGTGAGAAGGCCCAGTGGCAATGATATATAGATAAACATCTGCATTCCTTACATACCACAATATTTTTTGCTTCAAGTAGAGCTTCACACTTCCAGTGCTAAGCAGATTGTGTATGTGTCAATTAGACACCCAAATTCTCTCCCCCCATTTGGTGTCAGGTATCCATTTGATAATTTGCTTTTGCATGATGAAGAGCCATGACTGACTCGGTGATCCTTTCTTTAGATTTGTCAAAGCTCTCTTGCATGCTGAGCAAACAGTCCCCTTACAATACTGTATTAGCTGGCTCTTTAGTCAAAAAGTATTCCACTACCTTAGAGTTGCATTGCAAAGATCCCCGACTATTTTATGCACTGCCTACTTAAAAAGTAAATAAAGATTGAATTACATTCCTGAGCCCAGGATCCTCTTGCACTATACAAATGTAAGTATTTAATTTGGCTTTCCCTGTTTATGTTAGTTTGTTTTAGTTGCTCTGTGTCTTACTCAACCACAAGAATGCAGTAAAATTGGACTTATTCAATACTGTGTGTCTTTGGCTGCTTTTTCCTTCCCAGAAGCAAAAAAAAAAAAGGTTTTTAAAAGAAGGTCTGAAAGTGTTTTTTGTTCTTTAGTTGTGAAACTAAAAACTAGACAAACAACCAAAAGAAATTTCATACAGAGAGCCTGCAAATAAAGGCATAGAGTTAAAAAATGAACTGATTGTAGCATTGGTGAAAGGAAGCAGATTGCCAGCCTGTAGAGACTGAAGTTGCTGCTCACCCTGCAGAAACGTGTTGGAGATTAGAACTGTGTGGTACCCCCTCCAGAACTCTCTTGCCAGCCTAAGTTGGTTTATGGCCGGCACAGGGGAGAAGAGGAAGAAACCACACAACAGACAGCGATGGGGTGACCTTCCCTGGGAAAGTTTATTCTAGCCTGCAAGAACTGGGAGGTACCAGAAACCTGTTTCAGCTCCTGCTGTAGGAAATGGAGAGCCTGAGCTAAAACCCTACTTACTTTACACTGGTGTCTGATAAGGTTTCATATCCTCAGTCACTAGGAACGCCATCCTGAGAGCCAGAGTGGCTCTGAAGAGTGGCTCTCTCTGGTTGAAGGGTTGATCTACATGGAGCTTCTTGCAGAGTTAGACCCTAGTGATTTAGGCAGGCTGCCCTCAGCATATTGAGAAATGGTGACCGTACACAAAAGCAGGTCTTACAACTTAGGAGCTCAAGCAAATAACCTGTCAAAGGTGCAACACCTACTGAACTTTTTCTGACTTTCCATCCGTCCCATCATTTCATTAAATACAGATTAATTCCTTAATTTAGCTTTATGAAAACAAAGACTTTTCAAATTACAGGCTGTATTTTTATTAGCAGACATTGCTGGCAAAACACGAGAGGCCAGCAGGAGCATATTTGTTGCTACCATAAGCCATTTCATCCCATTGCTTTCAACAGTACTATGCTATTTTGCGCTTCTTTACAAACTGTCCTTGGTTTTGTAACTTAATTTAAAATGGTTAAATACTTCTTTTTTTTATCTGAGTGAAAGAAATTTACATGGGAAAAATATAGATCTTGAAGGGCATCAGTAAAGCTTAAAAGTTGCAGGGACAGCACCTGGAACAATCTGGGAGGAACTTTGTGACCAATGTTACTTTTGGTATTTTCCCTTAGATTCACAGTAGTTTATAAGTACATAAAGTTTCCCTAAAAAGACATTGAGGATTCTCCTATGAAAGGAGGTTTGTCTAGCAAGAGAAGCTCTGCATAAGCGACCGCTCACATCCAGTTCCACATGGAGCACACCGAGAGCTTTTCAGTGCAAAGTGCACGGTCAGGGTCAGGGCTGGAATGTGAAGTCCAGCCCTTCCCAGAGACAGGGAGCGTGCCTGCGAGCGAGCCTGGCTGAGGAAAGCTCAGCGCCGCTTTTGGCTATTTCTATGAGATGTGTGAAATGAACAATAACCAAAACAAAACTCCACAGGAGGCTGAAAGCAGCAGTACCCACAGCAACTATAGTCAAATATTCATAAGCAGCTCCCAATTTGGAGATGTTCTTCGTTTTTAGATGCCTGATAAAGACGTCCCACCCAAAATCCGTTGTCACATTTTAAAAGACTGATTTTCTTATGCTGACTTCTATGCCACAAAAAGCTCTATCTAGCCATGAAGAGCTCAATAATTTTACTGAAACTGCAGGAATGTCAGATCTTTACGTTTTATAATTGTTTACAGTTGAAAACTGTCTTGTACAAGTGTTCAATATGAAAATGTATTTTAAGTATTGCTCTAGTGCTTGGTTGTTTACGAGCACTGTGAACAAAACTGATTCCATACTCATTTTTAAAATGCATGTACAGCAAGCATTGCATTAGCAAATTAAGGAATAGCCAAAAAGGAGCAACATAAAGCAGAGGCACACCCTTCCGAGACAGAATGCAAAACAACACCCATAAGTAAGAAATAAAGAATTAATCACAAATTTTATACCTTACTGTTCTCTGTTTCAGGGGCCACTACATAAACATTTTGCAGATGCCATCTACTGGGGAAGCAGGAAAATTAATTAATTGTACACGATTTTCATGTAGTAAATAAAACAAATTGGGAAATGACTCCTAAAAATCTCGTAACTTCTCTACTTATGTTAGCTGTTGCAAGAAGAAAAGTGACCAAGGCAACTGTGTCTTAAGCATTTATGATGAGCCAAAAAGAAACAGGGGAAATGCAGATACATGAATGTTAACATCACTGAGAAAGCAATCAAAGTAGAAATAAGTTTTTAATTAAACCCTGATCATAAAACTGAGAAACCACTGATATCATTGAGAGGTACCACACTTAAACTCAGTGATGAGACGCTTACAGACCTCAAGATGATGGACTCTCATTGTTTATACAACGCTGCCCTCTAGCAACTGAAAACCAGGGCACAGGATTCATGAAGGTTTTTCTCAGAACACAGGTTGTCTCTTCCTTTCAAAAAGCATCTGTTGTTTGCCACATTTGTGCTTTAAACTGCATTTTACAGCTCTCATTTGGTACATTTTTCTATACTAGTTGTGTTTCTCCTGGCTAAAGAGAAACAGCAAAATTGGCTACTTACTTGCAATAGTGAAAGTTAAAGATATTTAGAGATGGCTGCTGTTTTATGAAGATACATATACCCAACTAATCTTTGCTCCATTAGGCTACCTGATTCCCTGATGCATTATCAGGGAACCTGGCTCCAGCCCTTTGCTTGCTCAGTACAAACCCCCCTGTAAGGAAAACAGTCTGGTGCCAGGGAACTCAAGCAGTGGCTCTACACATTTCCGAAGGCCCAGGTAATATCTTGTCTTTTTTTTTTCTAATACTACATGTACTGGGCACATTCCATTTCAAGGCTGGAACTATAAAACCCAACCACTCGAGACCACACCATGGGGTTTCACACATCCTAACCCACCCTGCCTCTCCCACACATTCCCCCCATAACTTGTGACCACTCTGCTGCGAACTCAATCCACCTGGGAATTAAGATGCCAATTCACACACTCATTGAAATTAAAAATTAAATCAATAATTTTTATAAAACAAATAGTTTTCATTTTGTTTCTTCTTT